TTGGAAAAGAAAGCAAAAAAGATTTTTTTTCTACTCTAGCGACATTTCAGGGTTTGGCTCCCCCCCCCCCAGATACCCCCAGGCCGGGAGTGCTGGCTGGGGAATTCTGGGAGTGGAAGTCCACACGTCTGAAAGCTGCCATGGTTGAGAAACACTGCAATAAGATTTTACCCAAAAAGAAAGCCCTCAAAGGAATGGAGCAGGAAAGCCACACCTGTCCAGTGTCTCCTTGTAACAAAGAGGGGACTTTTCAAATCTCCCAAACCTTTAATGTGTTGATGATTCATGGCTAAAGATTCTTTTTCTTTCTGATGAAAAAATGAGTCAACAGCTCTCAGAGCTGCTGGAGTCAATAACACATTGAAGAGGAACATCTGCCACGCGACATTGAATTGCCATTTAATTAATTATTTTAATACGCTCTGTTACTATTACAGGAGGAAAAGATCCGGCGAGCCTCGGGTCGCTGAAAATCGGAAGGAATCCAACAGTCCCTCTCCTGAGAAAGACATTTTACGAAGAGGCAACCATCAGCTCTCATGAACTGCAGCTCAGGTCATCAGATGCACGGAGTGTCTAAACTGGTGTCGGGTTTAAGGGGGGAGACCGGGCGGTTATGCAATCAATCAATCAATCCATCAACCTTCTGTAATGGGTTAAAAACCCATTGTGATTGCTAAGGCCTTCTTCAGGTAGCCTGAACCCTTCTGAGATATGCGAGTTCAGTGGGTAAAGTTTCTGAGTTCAGACCAAGCTCCCAGGACGCTCCATTTCAGAAGTCGAAGGAGCTGTTCTGGGACCCCGAATTGACCAGGGACCTGCTTCTGGTTTAGCAATCTGGCTTTGCACCTGAGGAAGTGACTCCAGCTCACCAAGGCCTTTTAATATGCAACTGGTTAACCAGAAAAGGTGCTGCTGGACTCCGGTGAAGTCCCGGTGGGCCCAGCTCTAGGATTCTGCACAGCTGGAAGCCCCATCAGGGGACCTCCTTTAATGCTACACAGAAATTACTCGGTTGCAACAATGAATCCGCCTCTTCCTCAAGGCAGCCCTGCACAAAGTCTGCCTCCGACCTGTGTTTAACCCCGTAGGAAGGAGGACGAGGAGCCGGTAGCTCAGACTAGCTACAAGTAAGCCTACTCCTTTGGGGAAAAGACAGGCCTCCTACTTAGGTTATGTGGCACAAAACCAGCTGGCCAGCATCAAATGGACCAAAATCAAAGTAGAGCTGATTAAAAAAGAAACACGTTAGCAGAGAGAAGAACTTGTCCACATCTGATTCCTCTTAATGTTGTAGCGTGGATTTTGCACTGGGCAGGGGGTGGACTCGATTGCCCCCAGGACCCCTTCCGTTCCAGTGCAGCTGGGGCCTTCAGATTTATTCCCCAGCCAGCTTCCTCCTCCCACGGGAAGGGCAGACGCCACTCACCCAGCCTCTCTGCCAAGAAACGGGACTCCCCCCAGAGCCTCATCTCCCCTCCTAGCCCCTTTCGCTGACCACTGACAGCCCAG